AATCTTTTCTAAATCACCCTCCAACTCTACTGACCCCTTATGTGCAACTCAACATGCTGTCCTGGGGACATTCAGACAGTTTTTAGTCCATCTGGAAAAGTGTTCATTTCAAAACCAATCTGAATGAAATGCCTAAAAAACTCTTAGAAAATAACTCTTATAATAAGCACTGTACCTGTTATGATCTTACATTATTACAGACAGTAAATTCATCTGTTTCCCCAAATCCCTTAACAACTTCTTTTAAATACATAAATAAAGAGGGAGAATTCATTGGATATTATTTAATAAGAAATGCACCTTCAGGCTAAGAGGTATGAATTGTACACCAAAGGGAATGGTTTAATACACTGTTTAATGCTATAATCAAAAATGATGATACCATCATGGCTTTTACACATTTTAATATTTCTTTAGAGCTGGAAAATGTGATAGTGAGAACCATATTTGTATATTACATAAATGTCAGAAGTAACACTGAACTAGCCAGGTGACAGAGTTCCAATAGCATTTCTTCTCCCTGACCAAAAAAATATTACCTGAACAGAGAGATCCAGAGATTTCCTCTGAGAATGACCCTTGGAGAGAACGCTTGCCTCTTCTGTATACCCCACCAGGTCATGCAGCATGACCCACAAATCCTCACGGTGCATCCTCTTGTTTCTACATACAGTGTGTATTTTCAAAAGCTTTGATACTTAGTCAAATATGACATTGATAACAGCACTTGAAAAAGGAACAAGATGGACAGGATACTCCTATCCACCAGGGAACAACCCATGATCAGCAGAAGTCCTAAATATCCTCTTCTGGGCATGGGGATATGCAAGAGACCATGGTTTTGGAGAGACCAACCAGAGCAGCAATCTCTTGAAAGCTCTCTATGCAAGGACCTAGACAGACATCCTAAAGCATAGGTAGATAGATACTTGTAAAAACTCTGTAACGGTACTGAGGATTAAAATAACTGTTTTAGGAGAAGAAAAGTGTTCTTTCCTTAGCTATAGCCTTTCTAGCAGGATGTTGCCAGGAAAAAAACCCCTGAATTACTACAGAGTCTATGATAATACAGAAATTCTTTTAGGGGCGCATCCTTACAATTTTTACAGAGAGGTATTGGAGGCCAGTAACTTCAAGACAGTGGCCCCCTTCAACTGGCAGCAGCCCACTGCAAGCCACCCAAGTCTTGATGTCTCTCTCTTTCCCAAAATGTAGAAGGGGAGGAATGGTATTTCTTGGAAGCAATCCTGGATCCCCCTAGGGAGATACCTCTGCACAAGCCCATAACTGGAATACTAGAAAGATTCTGACTCTCATTGTCTCGAGGATGAGAAGATTGTCAGGTCTCATATGGGAATTTCCATGAATAAGTACAGGACTTAACTCTGAGGCATTGACTGTACAAGGGGAAGCTGAGGAAGTGATGTTGCACTGGCTTTAATCAGTCCAAAATATCTTATTTTTGTGTTCTCAGAACCTGACCAGGCTTGTAATAGTAGGACCCCATCTACTCACACAATACATATACATTTAATATATTCCTATGGATTCAGACTGACCAAGCGGTTCTAAGTCTTTGAGACACTGTTGCAAAAGGAGTGCTTTTAGACTTCTAAAATGCCATGTAAAAGTGAAGTTGGTCTTTCAGCGTTCTGTAGCCGGTCTGAGCTAAATTGTGCAAGCTCTAGCAAAAAGTATTAGCTTGTACATAAATGTTTTCTCTTGTTTTTTTATTCTTCCAATGAACGGGAAGTCCCTAGGGTCCTGTTAACTGAGACCAGTAAAGACTGTCACACTTGTCAATAGAAACAGGTTTTACACCTAACAATAAAATATTTTGGCACTTTCTAATGTGTATTTGCTCTTAGCTCTATTCCCCTTAAGAGAGATGCTGGCACTTTTACACATTTGCTGGGGATGGGGAACACTTGAAGCCACTCTGTGCTCACTTTTTGAAGGACAGGGACTTGTCTCATTCCATAGTACACCATTACCTTCTTAAGCAGTTAGCACCTCCAAATAGTCAGGCAACATTTTCCAAGACACTGTTTCGATTTATCAAGCATATAGGACAACTTCCAGATTTCTCTTATGCTGGTTTCCCTTCTCCTCCCAGTCAAGACCTCTGTTTCCCATGGCAATAGAAAAAATCTGGGCTAAGATGGAATGGGAGAGCACAGGTGACAGAAATTTCCAAGAGGGAGCATATGCCTGATATGAGTTCTCTTGAAGACCAAACACATAGCTCATATGTGGCTACTGACCTAAAGCGTGTGAATTTCCCTTTCCTTTTCCTAGGGAGCATGCTTTCTATGTGGCAGAAGTAAAAAACCAATTTTGCAAAGCTTGGAGTTGAAGGTTGGAGCCTTATCCTTTTCATAGCTTCATCTCTTTTCATAAGCGTAAGAGTCCTGACCAAGTGTTTTTATATCAAGATATGTTTGGTGACAAGGTCAGGAAAGTCTAGCCTAAGGTAATGTTAAACCTTAGCATAAGGATGAAGAAAAAAAAATGTTCAGGATTTTAGGCAATGTTTTTTCAAAAAAGTACTAGTTCTAGTGTGTGGAGGGGCAGAAAAAGAATTACATAGGTAATAAATCTGAGCTTCTGAGCTGCCCTATCCTCCTCTTACTTCCCTTTCCACACCCCTCAGCCCTTCCCCCAGTGCTCCTATGAGTCCTTCAATCTGATTTTGATCAGCATTTACTTAAATGTGTGTACAAACACATCTATATATATTTACTTCAATATAAGTATTTCCATGGGCTTTATAGAGATAGGGTTGATTTTTCCCAAGTATGGAAACAGTACATTCAGTTATTCTTTACCTAAATAAGAATTAGCTGGAATATTGATATAAGCTAGTCTTAACTCAGTGTCCAAAGACAGCACACTATCTGCATTTAAAGCTGCTTCAGGAAATTAAGATCTTAAGCTTATAAATACAATTAATTTGTCATAGCTGTGACAGGCTTTCCTCTTCAACTTGTTTGTAGCTTTTAAAAACTAAAAAACCAAATAATATATTATTATTTCCTAGCTGGGTGCTATGAGCACTGCATCAAAACAGCAAATTTCACAGGGTGAGGGCGGGTGGCTTTGGTTGGTTTTGAGTTTTAAAAAAAAAAAAAAAAAACCACAAAAAGTTGATTTTGGACTTAAATCTATAAATATAATTAAGAACTGCACTTGTGGATTCTCTTTGAGTGCTGACCAAGCTAAGCACTGCTCCTCAGCTCTGCACTACTGCTCTGCCATTATGTCTCAACTGATCTCGAACTCTTCCATCTGTGAGTTATTCGTTGCCTCTCCTCATGTTCGTCTGCTGGCTATTTATACATCAAACTCTACTATCACAGCATTCACTAGTTTCTCTGAAAGAGGATCTAAATTTGCAGAATAAAATGCTGAAGTTGCACAAACACTCCTTACACTGGGAAAAAAAAACATAATTCCCATCTCAGAAAGAGCAGAATTACTGTGGATATTTGAAGTATTTCCACTTGGAGCTATTCTAAATACTGCCATTTGATGCAGCCATTTTGGACTTTTAGCAGGCATAAGGGCACAAACCAGCTTACTGAGAATCATTTGCACATATGCTGATAAAGTCCTGGCTTGCAATATACTGAAAAAGCAATCACCAGTAGGCAGTTTAGCTTCCCACAGCTACAGAAAGCCTCTGCCTAAGTGACTGGAGGCTGAAAATCCCTAGGTACCTTATAGCCCTACTCTGTCAGAAATAAGCCCTTGGGACCAGATCCTCAGGTATATGTGCTCGTACTCTTGTTGCCTTTGGGAAAACTTTCTAATTTATACTAGCTGAGGAATCAGCCTTTATATATGTAGTCTCCATAATTCTTTTCCTACGATGCCTCTAATAAAATGAGAATTATAGAAACTGAAAGGGTATGAGAGCGTGAAAAGGAAGCAAGTTCCTGCTCTGTCTCATACCAGTAAGAACCTGAAAAAGGCAGAGTTTGGAACAGTGGCTTCAGATCCACCCTGATAAACAGAGCAAAACCTGGCCAAGGCAATGTCCAGAATTATGAGCACAACTCTTGCTCCATTTTTCTTATCTCTGCTATGCTTTCTTCCTGACCTTGGGTAAGTTGATTAACCTTTCTTTTCTAAGTTTCTCTAACTGTGGTATGACTCTGTACCTCCCGTAGAGGTTGTGATGCTTAATTGGCCAATATCTCTCAAATACTTGAAGTGCTTTGGATGAAATATGTTGTGCAAGAGAAATAATTGAAGTCAATGGGGCTGTGACAACTGACACTAGCTGAGGAACTTCCCCCTGGTGTTTAATAGGATCAGAAGGAGGCTTAGTTAAAATGACAGGAAGCCAAAGAGGCATTTGGTGTTAATAAGACCATAAATGAGTCAAAGGGGTTACTATTTGCTGTGGTAATACCCAGAATTTTTCATCTTCCAAGCACTCTATCAGCATCTATTAATTCTCAGACCTCCACTTAAACAGAGATCTGTAATATGTCCCCCATTACACAGATAAGAAAAATCAGACAGATGAGTGATGTGACTTAACCACAGAACAAGATGTGAGAAATCAAATTTGAGCCTCTGGCTCCTAAGCCTATTCTCAGAGCTCCCTTTCTGCCACTCTTCTGTTGTGTATATATTTCCTTATCTTTCTGTTTCAATTATGAAAGCCCATCTCCTGATCCTTTTTCTGCAAGCACCCCTGCCTAATTCCTTGTTAGATAGTGCTAGATGCTCTTCCATAAACTTCTCAAAGCTTTCAGACAGAAAGCAGAGCTGGGGGGAATGTTGCTGGGCTGAGCAGCTCTCCTTGTTTCAACAGCCCCTTTTCCCAAGTGCTGAAAAAGATATGAGTATTTGCCCTTCCAAGTATTTTTCATTGTTCACTACCAATTCCCCACAGCACCTGGCTGCTGCACTGCAACCTCTCCTCTCAGAAGTAGTTCATATTACAGTATGCTGGGACAGGGTCTGTCACTTCAGACTGACTATTGCTCATTGCAGGAGGAAATTCATGACCTGCTTAAGCCCCTAAGGGAAATTATTGCTGTTATTTCAGCTCTTGAAGATGCCTGCCATTAGAAGATGCAAGGCTGAGGTTATGTAAGTGTGCTGGCCAAATCCAGTTGTTCCAGGAAGTCCAACAACAGCTACTCTGCTCTGCTCCTAACCCTCCTCTGTAAAGGGTACCAGGTGAAGCTTTTGGGTGCTCAGTCTGAATAACAGCCTCAAGACGAGTCCCCACAGACTAGTTTCTATGTAGAAGGAATATATGAACTTGAATCTGTAACCTACTTGAAAATACTAAAGTATAATAGTGTGGGGGGATGCTGCTGTGCTGGTGTCCCAGCAGATGGAAGTGTAACATGAAATGGGACAAATTATTCAACTGTTATAATGTCATAAATCTATAAATTTGCAACAATCACAGAGAATATAGTTTATTCTATAATAAAAACTTCCACTGCTGCTTAGAACAACTATGTCACAGCAATATTTGGGGTAACAACTTTTGTACTCTTGTATGGTAGGGCTTTCTTTTCTTTTCTTTTCTTTTCTTTTCTTTTCTTTTCTTTTCTTTTCTTTTCTTTTCTTTTCTTTTCTTTTCTTTTCTTTTCTTT